AACAGAGTAAGACTCTGTCTCAAAAAAAAAAAAAAAAAAAAGATTTAAGTCTCCATATATAAGATACATCAGACATATCATACATATATAAGGAGACAATCAAGTAGAATAAAAGTTATACAAAATAATATTAAGTAATATAAATGAAGGAACCAATTTTTTGAATATACTTATTGCAATACTTTATGCAAAAAAGTTAAGGCCTAGAGAAATGTGTTTTACACTTCCAAAATATTTTTTTTGACATTGTTCAGTTCTGCTTTTCTTTTCCCCACACTATTAAGCAATTAAGCACATGACATTTGAGCAGTCCAAAATCTGAGAATTAGGAATATATGTGGAGTTCTATAAATAGTATAAATATGTTGAAATACTTAGATATTCATAATGATAAGAAACTAGGTTTTTATAAAAATAGGGAATACTGTAATATTTTAAATCAAAAGTTATAATCAAGGTATGCTTGTCACTACTCGTTATCTAATCATGGGTAATTTGCTCTTTGGTTTATACTGTGATACTTAGTTTGACATATCTTAGGTGCCAGAGTATTTAGGTCTTTTCATAACCTAATGAATGTTGTATCAAAATACTATAATGGCAAATGTATCCCCACATATGGATAATTAGAAAATATTACCTACAGTTCTTAAATTATATTTTATCTTATTTTATTGCACACCAAATATTATTTTTTGCCAAAATGAAATTATATGGAGATTCTTTAGCTGTCAGCATACTTTGAATTTTAAATTTGTCAATTACCTGAAAAGTTAATAATATAAGCAAAACTATTTTCTTTGGTAATTAATGAAAAGGAGCTCATTATAACTTGGATATTGTGATTTTTTTAACAAGTTACTTACAATTCGGCAGTGTGGCAGTCATTAGTGCTTTTCTTTCTTCTTGCTCTGATTTTCCCATTGGGTCTGATAACCTCAGATGTTCTCAAGTGTCCTTTCATGTCCACCTAAAGCATGAAGACACTTAAATTTTGTGTTAGAAGTAAAACAAAATGAAATAGCACATCCGTAAATCACTGGTACAAACTGCTCTGTGTTTTAAAGTTGCCATCACATCTCATACATGATTTGGGGCTCCTGACTTTGGTAGAAGGAGTGAGCAAATAAAGCACTTCTGTAGTCCTCTCATCCCTAAGGGAAGAGGGACCAACCGTCAATGTATTACATGTAAACTCGCTGTCCTTTCTTTAATAATAATGTCCATATCTTTTACATTTTATTCAAAACAAAGGAGAAGGATATTGCCATACTGGTCTATTGGAATAGTATCACTTATTGACTCCTCTATAAGCACTATAAGAGTGGGTTGTCTAGCACTGTGTGCTAAGAAGGAAAAGCAAGTGGGGCTTCTTTTACTGTTCTAAACTTTTTCCACAATATTTGACATCCCTGTGTTATGTATAGTATTTCATCAACTACAGCAATAAAAATTGCATGCAAAATACTTTTTAGAAAAAAAATCTTAGGTTCGTAATGAGGATAAGTAGAATGTTGTCTGTGCATGTGTGTGTGTATGCACTTTTTACTGGAAGTCTCATATTCAATTTATCAGACGTTGGTGGAGAACATACTATGTGTAAAATTCTGTGCTAATCACTATGGATAATGAAAGATGAGTAAGATATGGACTATGCCCCTAGTAGCTTACAATTTAATGACTCAATGTAATCAAGGAATAATCTACATCAATTCTAAATGTCTTTCCAGAATAATAGTTGCTATTTTGGAGTGTTGATCCTTTTTCTAAATAATTTAGTGTTTTTGTTGATGTTCAAAAAGTTTTACTTTCTTACTTGATCATTTGTGACATTTGTTGTGTGGTTATGCCCCATTGCTGCAGATTTTATTTCTGCACTAGAAAAATAAGACATCTTATACATTCTTTCCATTTGCAAAAATAGGAAAATAGGATGAGAATCTAATATTTTATGGATCATGAATTTAAAAGGAACTATTTGAATAGTTTTCTGTGTAGTCCACATGGAAAATATACATTATAGGAGGAGAATATTCATGAGTATAAGGAAAGGAGGACTAAGGAACCCACAAAAAAATGGAGCAATTATTCAAGATTGAGGCAAATAAGATAAATGAGAAGAATACCATCCAGGAGGAGGTAAGCAAGAATATCAAATGTGTTGACGAAGGAAGAAGAATGAAGATTAAAGAGAAGCTGTTTGATTTGGTGGTTATAAATAATTGATGACAATTGATAGAGTCATTTTAATTAAAAGCATGGAATGAAACCATAGTACAGGCATTTGAGGACAGAATACGTGTTATATAATTAGAGAGACAAAATGAAAGCCACTCTCTTAGGAAACTTAACAGTGAATACAAAGAGAGAAATGAAAGAAGAAAAAAAAATAGGCCAAAGGCAATCGAATCAAGTGAGAGAGTTCTTCCCGGATTCTCTTTACTTTTCCAAGATGGGAGGTCGATGCCTGGTTAAAGACTGCTGGAGATTTCAGGGTGGCAGCTGTGGATGTAGGACCTACTCTTGATCCTGCTGAGAGGTTCCAGAGAAGGTAACAATGATCAGGCTCCTGGAATGAACCAGAAAGCCAACAAGGAGCCCCAAGAAAGAGCAGAGGACTAGGCCTTCTGTATGATACAGAGACTGAACATTATTTGACAGAGGAAAGAGTAGTATTCTGCCTTGAAGAAAAAAAAAAAAAAAAAACAAAGCCCACCATGCCTGGTTGAGTTCCCTTTAAGACCTGGAGAATTCTGGCAAAATATCACGCTTAACTTTTCAAGGTTGATAAAAGTTTTTGAAAGTGTCCAAGGGTAGTTTGGGGTTGGCCTTCAGACCCCTGCTGGTCCAACACTGAATCTCACATCTCCCAATGTCCTCTGGTGGCTTCAGAGGAAAAAGCTTCAAAAAAAGATTTCATTCACATCCTTTTTACTTTAAAAATCAGATCAATCATGATTTTCCCTGGTAGCCTGTTAAATTATTTTAGCATAATTATTAAAATGTAATTCTTAAATATGATGCATAAAGGCTGTGCATGTGTGTCAAGAACTCTGATATTTAATTGTACCAAACTAACATTTAGTTAACAGGATACAATTTATTGAAGCTAAAGTATTCTGTGTCCTGTGAACTTATATTTTCAGTTAGCATTTCCCATTTTTAGTGTTTCGATTTATCTTAGGTCTCATTTAAAAATAGATTAATGGAACGAAGCTGGTTCAACTCAGCATAAAATTATGAAAATTATAATAAATATTAAAACTCAAAATAATGTGAAATTTATATAAAGTAAAAGGACTCCACCGGGACAAGTCAACATGCGAATGAGAGGATTTTCCAGAAGCAGGTGGAAAAGAAGAGCTTAACTATAAATACAATGTGGAATATCTAAAATTGGATTTTGTTAGATCAGAGAGGGTCAACTCACCCCTAGTATCTAACACTTTGGTTTTTTAAAATATTGCCAAACAACCATTGAAAATGTAGCAAGTTTTTTGAACATAGGAGAGAACTCTCTAGTAAATCAAGATGATTTTCCCAGAACAAATATGTGATAATGCTTTCCTGAATGAAATTATTGGATATTGTTTTCCAAAGACATGAAAAGAACAGAGCTACCAAGGTATCATACAGAATTATATTCCATGTATGATCAACAAATTGATACACATGAGAGTATTGCTGAGAAAGAGAAAACCAGCTACCACAGTTATAGCACACTGTGCTCTGGAAGAAATCAGAACTAGGTCTTGGCAAACTTCTTTAGCACAGGGCCCTGCTGGACGCTTCACACTGTCCCATGCCATGGAGAGTGGAGAAGCGGTCACTATCACATGCTAACAGGTATGTTTTACTATAAAAAGATAAAGTCACTGAGGAACAGAATATAAATTGGTATATAGTCGGTGCATCTATCAGAGAGAAAAGCTGCATATTTTCTCTGTTTAACAATAAAAATTAAAGCTACTTAAATGGATATTTCCTTGAGCTGATGATTATTCTATGAGCTCTGTCACAGACCAGAAAATATGCAATGAAGTCAGTGCAGAGAGCACGAGCTCTGTGTGCCGCACAGATGGGCAGTGCTCCACAAACTAAAAGGGCGCCTCTGAAACTGTCCACTTACCGCTGTGTACCTAATATTGGAATCCTTGCGTGTCGATACTCACAGCGTGGCTTACTGCTGCCCCAGGTTTCAATGTGCTGCTTTCACTTTCTCAGAACGTGGCTTGGTGGGTATTTCTTGTCCCTGATTTTCAGAGTCCTCTATTTTTAGAAACTACCACCTATCCTGAGCCTGATTTCCCAAACTTGAACAGGCTCTGAAAATGACCTGAACTTAGAAAATGAGGAAAGGAGGTGAGGCAAATGAATCAAGGGACATGATAGATTTGTC